GTCCTGCCATTGATTAATTCTTCGATCTTAAATATGATCAACCTATCTATGGCTCCCATGACACAAGCATGTACCCAACAATTACTGTACTTTGCTGGATGTGCAATTACACTTCATTCTAGCACGGCAAAAAAGCATGTTCCCCAGGGTCACACATATATCACACACGTATTCTGTTATGTTACTCAATGAGAGTAATGTGTCCTGAATACTTTGGATTACTTAATATATTATCATGCTTTTTACAACTACATGAATGTACTACTGCTGTGTAGCAGCTAGATGTTTAAATCTTAATATAAATACGTCGGGTTCATGTCAGGCTCGTAGCCAAAAACTAGCTTTACTTTGTTGTCTGGGTCAACTTTGCTAGCGAGAGACAGAGAGAGGCGTTGAAAGGCTGCCAGGGAGACCTACCTTGTCACCACATTTGAGCAGGTGAAGCCAAAGGGAAGATACGCTTCATCATATTTTCTAGTCTTTGGCTTGGAAGCATATTTGGCGATGCTTCATCTTCTGCTTTGACTGTGTGTGGGAGCCCCATCAAAAACCTATCCATTATGGTGGCAGTGTCTAAGCCTTCCTCTTTTTTATATATATATATAATTCATATACCACGTCAGTGGTATGAATTACTACCAGTATCATTAGAAGGCATTACATACATTTTCAATGCTATGCAGATGGTGCACAACTTTATCTATCCATGAAGCCAGATAACACACAGATAAACTGCAGGAATGTCCTAGAAGCGTAAAGACCTGATTGGAATTTGACTTTATTTATTTAAAAGGGACAGCGCATATTAGTGAACATATACCAATATACTAAGTATCCCAGAGTTAGCCAGGGCTGCTTTTCATCTGTAGTCTCTGGCAAGTCAGACCAAAATTATATGAAAAGGAATTTAGCACACCATAAGATAATGTACAACAACCTAGTACAGACAACAAATACATAAATTTCATTCATAATTTTTTTAGGTATTATGGACTGATGAAATAAAATTTGAAAACTTCGGTTCATCACACAGGATCATTGCATTCTGTCGAGTAGGTGAAAGGATGGTTCCACAGTGTGTGTCATCAACTGTCAAACATGGAGGAGGAAGTGTGATGGTCTGGGACTGTTCGCTGGATCCAGGGTCGGTGACCCGTACACAGTGAGAGGCTCCCTGAACCAAAACAGCGACCTCAGAATTCTGCAGCGCCATGAAAAACCCGGATGATCTGATATCCTCGGGTTGGAGTTGTTCCCACATCATCATAATAAATGTTGTTCCAGGTTCAACATTGCAAGTGACCAATCACATTGTTGTGAGTC